CTTAAAAAGATGACCAGCCCTGCGTCGAAAGGGACGTGTAGCCCTTTCTTCCAAATGGAGCTCAGTGCTTGTCTCCAGGGTATAAAAAGAATAAGGAGAAACAAGGGTGGAGGAGACTTGTGCTTTCTTTTTTTTTTTTTTTTGAGACAAGGTCTCGCTATGCAGTTCAGGCTGGCCTTGAGCTCACTTTGTAGCCCAGGCTGGTCTCAAACTCACAGCGATCCTCCTGCCTCAGCCTCTCGAGTACTAGGATTACATGTGTGTGCCCCAAGTTTGGAGTGGCTGTGGGTGGGATGAGGTGATGCTGTGATGTCTGCCAAGCAGTTTATCCAGATCAGCCTGGCTTCTGAGACCTTTCCGGACCCCTCAGAACCAGCCCTGTTGGAGCTGAGCAAATGACCCCAGGGCGGGAAGCAGCATGGCCAGGGCCACTCAGGTGTGGGAACCGAGCTGGGACTTGAACCCCACAGCCTTGCTCAGCCTGCGGCTTACAGGCCTGAGCGCACCTGGGCCGCGCTGCCTGACGCCTTCCCCACCCCCAACAGGAGAAGCAGGACAAGGTGGTCCTGCAGTCGGAGGTGGCCAGCTTGCGGCAGAACAACCAGCGGCTGCAGGAGGAGTCGCAGGCCGCCAGCGAGCAGCTGCGCAAGTTCGCTGAGCTTTTCAGCAGGGAGAAAAAGGAACTCTGAGGGGGAGCCTGCTGGCCGCGGGCCCCTACCCCGCTCCTCTGTGGGCTCCTGGTCACAGCGCCCCGCAGCCCTCTGCATGGATGGAGCCCTGTTAGCAGTGTGGTCCCAGCCCGAGGGCCTGTGAGCTGGTCCTCAGCAGCGTCTGAGCTACCTGGGGTCCCTGGGGCCATGGCGTCCCCTTCTAGGGCCCAGCCACCCAGAGCTGTGGGAACACAGGCGGCACAGGAGCCTGTGCTCAAACCCTGCTGCTCCCGGAGTCCACGGTTGTGCTGCTTCCGCATGAATGACAGGTCTGGCTGCGGGCCAAGGCCCTGCATGAAAAGACAGCGCGAAACAAGCCCTTTCCCCTGCACCCCGGAGAGGCGGGGCCCCCGCAGGGCCGCGGACCAGGGCTCCTCGGTCCCCAGTGCGCTAGCTCGGAAAGCATGGACACTGTCCCCTCCTCAGCCCCTTCCTCCGCAATGCAGCCAGGAGCACTTTCACAGAGGTTAAATTATTTTCTCGAGGACCCCAGGATGGAGAGAAGAAACCCCAGCAGCCCAACAGAGTCCGCTGCTTTGAGAAACTCTATTTGTACAATCGGGACCATTTATACGATCTTTTTCTATCAGCTCCTTTCCTGCCAGGGGCCATAGCGCCTGGGCTTGGGGCCCAGAGGCCCCTCCACCTTTGAGCTACTGACCTGGCCGGCCTGACCGTGCCGGCCCTCCTCCCCGCCCCACGCCCTTAGCACGACCAAGCCCTGACCAGCAGCCCCGGCCTCCTCCGCGCTCCAGAAGGTGCCCGGGGGCCTCGGCGCAGGGCTGGAGAAAAACAGCCTTCATCTCCTGCCCGCTTTCGTTTTCCTTTGCAAGGCTCCCTGCCCGCCTCGCAGGTCCCGGGGGAAGCAGCCCCCAGACGCGCTCACTGTGCTCGCGGGGGGCGCTCGCAGTGCAAACCCCAGAGACACTGCTCTCTAAAGGCAATAAGGGGCAGCTCTCCAGGCTGGCGCGGTCCTACGCTGCCCACCAGGAAACACGAGTTCCTTTCTTCTCCTTCTTTAAAAACAAACAAACAAAAAATATATATATATATATTTATTTTTTCACGTAGAGTTGTGCCGGAACAAGTCTAGATGGCACATTCTGTGGATTCCCCCACTGGAGCTGAGGATTGAGGCGTGTCCCTCGTGGGCTGGGAGGCAGCGCGCGGTCCCGAGGGGCAGGCGGGTGGGCGGGCGGGCGGGCAGGCAGAGTCCCTTTCTGGGGAGCACCAGGCAGGGAGGAGTTGGCAGCAGCTTGGGGCTGAGCGCCAGCACCAGCCGGCATGGCCCTTGTCCAGAGACCCCACCACCTTCTCTCTGGGGCCGGGAACTTGGGGGAGGGGGCTCTGGGACTGCACAAGATGAAGGCACTCAGGGAAGTGCCAGGCCCACGGGGCAGGGCCAGGGAAGAGGGTACTCATCTCAGCTCCCTATGATCCACGTCTGGCCCTGCCGCCCTTCCCAAGAGGAAAACCTGGCAGCAGCGCGGAAGGCCCTGCCTCGCAACTGCCCTCAGCCCTGGCCAACTACTGTGACGTCTCCTCCCTCCCCTACCCCTGTTCAGGGGGGCTTCTCAGTACCCCGCCCCCACCCTTTCCTCAGACCCTGACCTGGTAACCTGGAGCCTTTTTTTCTTTCTTTTTTTTTTAGTTGTCTCATATCTTCAGATCATTCGAATCATTACGGGGACCTAATCGTGTATATTGACAAATGTAAATTATGATTTTTGGTTTATTTTCTGTTGTGTTTTTTTTTTTTTAAGAATTTCTGCGAAACAGATCTATTTAATTTGAGGTTGGTGATCTGTCTGATGGCTGGAGAAAGCAGAAGGCTTTTTTCCTGTGTTGATTTGTTTCATTTGGACTTACTATTCTTCATTGTCTTTTCTCCTTTCCATCCCTGTCTTGAGATTTTTCTGGCATGTTTCTGGAGGTTTCAAAGGAAATAAATGTTTCATAGAAATGGCTTGTGTAGTCACTAGCGCGGCAGCTACCTGGAGTTGGCACTGAGCCCTCCTCTCCCCTGTCCCAGACACCCATCACCACCCCTGCACACACCACACACTTCCCCAGGAACCAGGGGACAGCCGCAGCTTGTCTGCCTGTCATCCCAGCTACCCAGGAGGCCGAGGCAAGAAGCGTGCATGTTCAAGGCCAGGCTGAACTGCGTAGCAAGACACTGTCTCAAAAAGACAGGAAAAAAAAAATCCGAAAACTCAGGGATTGTTAGGTACCATAAAGAAAGCCAAATTTAGTTGTGCATGGCGGTGCATACCTGTGATCCCAGGACTTAAGACAATCTCAACTTTGAGGCCAGCCTGGACTACAGAGACGCTGTCTCAAAAACAGAAAAGCTGGGTATGGTGTTGCACACCTGTAATCCTATCACCTGAGGCAGGACTGCCAGGAATTCAAGGCCAGTCTGAACTACATGACAAGACGCTGTCTCAAAAAAAAAAGCTGGACGCGGTGGCGCATGCCTGTAATCCCAGCACTTGGGAGGCTGAGGCATGAGGATCGTTGTGAGTTCGAGACCAGCCTGGGCTACAAAGTGAGCTCAAGGCCAGCCTGAGCTGCATAGTGAGACCCTGTCTCAAAAAGACAAAAAAAAAAAAAAAATTCAAGCCCAGTAGCTCTGACTACTTCTGACAGACTCCCAAGTCAGGGGCCCCGGGCCCCCTAGGCAGGGTACACACCCAGTTCATCTGCATCTTCTGCCCTGGCCACAGGGCTTGTCCGTATGATCCCCTCACCTGTCTGTCCCGGTGGACTGGACCTTCCTCTGCCGGTCATTGGTGCATGGGATCAGTAGCCACCTCCAGGCCAAGGAGGAGACAGCTCAGCGCCCCGTCCCTTCCTCACACAGAATTGTCAGCCAGATTCTGACAGCCCTTCCTCTGAGGCCTCCTAGCTGGAGGGGCAGCTTTCACTCGCGTCTGGCCTGGTTTGAGCAGTTGTTTGCAGGTGGGCCCAGAAACTCAGCTCGGATTCTAAGAATTCCCCCTGAAGGTTCCGGGCCCAGTCCCCTGGGAACAGGCTTGCTCTGTCTCCGCGTCGCTGTCCCCGGCCTCTGGACAGGGCTGTCCCGGTGCTGGGGACTTTGCACCCTTCCTCCCCAGTTACCTGTCACTGCGCTGCCTCCCGAGCCCAGTATTTCCGACTCCCCTTCCCCCTCAAACTGCCTTCTCCTGAACGAGGACGTGCGGATTCCATCCAGGGGAGGAGCTCCGGCCATCCCAGAGGCGCCTAAGCCCTCCAGAGTGACAAAGTCTCCTTCCTCACGGCCCCAGAGGCCCGGACCTCAGTCCTCCAGCTGCCTTCCCCACTGGGCCGCCGGGGCTGGAGCCCTGGAGCCTGCTCACACCTCCCCACGCGGGGCTGGAGCTGCACCAGCGTCTTCCAACACGCACCGCGCCCGTTTCCCTCGCCCCCTCTCGGCTCTCTCCTCACCCGGGTCCAGCCTCCACGCCCTGGCCCTCTCCAGGTTTTCCTGCTGTCCCCTGAATGCTGGGGCCTTTTGTCCCGGGACTCTGCCTGTCCTGGAATCCCAGCTCCAGCGTACCCGTGGGCCTCCCTCCTGGCTTTGTTGCTCTTTCGTTTCCCGCCCCGCTCTCCCTGTGCCGACCTCCCACTTCTCCGACCACTGTGGACCCCTCGTCCTCCCAGTGTGGTCCGAGTTTTTATAGTTCCTTCCCCTCTCCCTCGAATCCTGTCTCTCTGTTCTCTCCCGGCCCTCCTCCCTGTGGCCCTCCGCTCTTCTTTTCTGGTTCTCTCAATAAACTGTGACTTTCATAATCTCTCCTGTCTGTGTCCTGGTTCTCACTCCTCACCCCGCCTCGCCCCAATCCGTCTCCTACCGGGCCTGTGTCTCAGGGTCTCCTCCAGCCCTCCCCTGCCACCTTCCTCTCCTTCACCCCTTCCGCATCACTCTTTGCTCACGTCCAGGACAGGGGCCCAGGTGGCCACCCGACCCCTAGCCCAGGAGGGGCCACCACCTTCCTCCCAGCCCTCCCTTCCCCCAGCCCTCACTCCTTCCGCCCTCCTCCCTGCCTCCCTCTGCAGCTGCAGCAGCCCGTTGCCAGGGCAACCACAGCTGGCTGGGTGGGAGCCCCCTCCACCCCATCCCCCTCTTCTCCTTTCCGGAGAGGCTGGGAGGAGCTGGGACAAAGCCAGAGGGAGGCGGGCGCTGGGGAGGAGGTGGAGGTGGCGGCGGCGCCGCTTGCCCCCTTCCGGGCCGGCTGCCCTTGGTGTTGCCCCACAGCAGGCAGGAGAAGGAGGCAGGCGTGGGCAGAGGGGTCAGGCCCAGTTTAATACACAGAACAAGTTAATTCACAGCAGAGGCAGGCAATGAAGGAGACTCAGTCACAAGGGGGGAGCACTCCTGGATTGGGGGAGCCCCCAACCCCACCCCCTCCCCCACTTGCAGTCTCAATTTCCCTTTTTTTTTAAAACCCGAACAACAAACACACACAACCACAAGAAACAACCATGCCCCCTCGCGACCTCCAAAACGGCCCGTGAGGGTGGCAGAGGGCAGCCCGGCCTGGCCGGGAGGGCAGGAGGGGCGGGGAGGAGGGAGAGTCTGTTGCAGAGTCTGTGCTTCTCATTCCGGCGGGCGCCGGCTGGGCACCCACCTGGCCCCACAGCCCCCCGCCACCATGGCAGCCACACGGCAGGCACTGGGTGGGTGCAGGGCGGGGCTGTCAGGGAGGGGCAGGAGCAGAGTTCAAAACCATGCAGTATCCACGGTGGGCACCGGAGGGGGCGGGTGGACACCATGCCCAGCGGCCCTGGGCACTGGAGGGAATGGTGCCCACCTCAAGTGGGGAGGTGGGACAGCTGCAACTCCAGAAATGGGGTGGGGGGCGCCAGGCAGGAAGCTGGCGTAACCGGGTGCCCAGTGGATGCTTGGCAGTGCCCCCTCCACCCAGCCAGTCCTCACAGGACTCTTTGTATATATTAATTTCTTTTTTTTTTTTTTTAACTTTTTGTCTTTTTCTTTAGAAAAAGGCTCTGTCCATGCCCCCAGCTGGCATCCACTACCCCCCTGTGCCCGCCCAGAGGCGGGGTATGGCTTTGAGGGGAGCAGAAGCCCCTGGTGCCCATTTGCCAAGGGACGGGAAGGGAGGGAGGGAAGGAGAGGGGCCTGCCGGGCCCACCAGCGCCCAGGGCTGAGCTCCACTTGCTGGGCGAGGCGGCCCAGCCCCTGGGGCGACACCTCGCCCTCACTCAGGGAGCAGGCGGGAGAGGAGAGGTGTCCCGAGGCAGGTGGGCAGCACCACCCTGGAGTCCAGGAGAACCAGAGCCAGGCCTAGGTGAGTGTGATGTAGGCAGAGGCCTTTTCTTTCAGGTGCCGAAGACAGAGGTGACAACTCCAGCTCCCTGCACGGGATCGGGAGACAGAGAAGGGAGTTAGGCCAAGGCGGAGGGCAGCCTCCACCCCTCGCCCCACACAGGACACGGTTTTCCCCACCAGGAAGACGACTCTCCGACCCGGCCAGCCCCGCGTGCGCCCACCTCTCTCACCTTCCGGAGGCTCCGCCATGGGGGGACTCAGGCAGTACATGTGGTAACCCCGATCGCAGTCATCACAAAACAGCAGCTGGTCCTGGGGGGTGAGACCCGCCCAGCTGGCACCCTGGGGGCACGGGCACCAGAAACCGGGGTGGGGGGCTGGGGCAGGGGCTAGGTCAAAGGGGCTAGGGGAGATGGTCCCTTCCAACACAGTGGCTTGGAGTTGGCTTGGTCAGCACACACCCTGTGGACTGACAGCCTACAATTCTTAGTCGGAATTTCCTAAGACTGGAGCTTTAAATGACCAGCTCTGGAATCAGTGGTGTGGGTTCAAATCCTGGCTCTACACCAGGTGTGGTGGCGCACACCTGTAACACCAGCATTTGGGAGGCTGAGGCAGGAGCATTGCTGGAAGTTCAAGGGCCATTGTAAGACCCTGTCTCAAAACAAATCCCAGCTCTACCACTTTCTTAGCTGTGGGACCCTGGCAGGTGGTTTTCCCTCTCTGAGCTGTTTCTTTGTGAAGTGGGAAGAGGAGTACTGTACCTACCTACCTGGCAGGGTGAGTGAGAGATGTCAGGGATGCAGAGGATAAAGTGCCAGGCTCAATTAACGGGCACAAACAATAACAATTAGGCCTGTTTCTGGCGTCCCCAGGGGGGCTGGGGAAGTTTAGGCTGGGGGAGGTGGGGGGGCGGGTGCGAAGGGCGGCTGGGCTACGTTTGCAAGGCGGGCGGCCACTCACGTCGTTCTCCGAGGTGCCACAGAGGCTGCAGGATTTGCACTCGATGCACTGCCAGCGGTAGGTCCGCACGGCCGCCGTCATGTTCACCGTGAACTGTAAACACGAGGGGTGTCCTGGGGGCCGGGGGGCAGGGATGCCGTTAGGGAGTCATCGGGGTCCCCCTCGGGCCCCCAGTGGCACACACGGACCCCTGGCTTGGATGAGCTGCAGAGGTCCCTGGCCCGACCCCACCCCCGCACGTGACACCCAGCGACCGTCCTCAGAGCCACAGGGCCATAGCCACCAGGGTCTCCCACCCGGCTACCATAGCAACCACACTCCGATCCCCAGAATACTATGGCAACCGCATTCCATTACCCAGAGCGCTGTGGCAACCACTTTCTACCACCCACAACAGCCAGGCAACCACAGGCTGTTAACCACCGTGCTGAGGCAGCCACATTCCATTACCCACAGCAGAATGGCAAACCGAGCCTGTTAACCACAGTAACACGGAACCACATTCTCCCAGCCACAACGCCATGGCAACCACCTTCCACAACAGGCTCCCCACACTCGGTTCCACACAGCCAAAGTCCACTCCACACGGTGCCCCAGCAACCAAACTAATAATATTTGCAGTGCCAATCTATTAGTCACTCTACTGCCCCAGTGCAGACACCTGCAGCCGCTGCCCACAGTGCCTGATCCCCACAGCCACCTTCCGTGGTACACAGCCACTGCCCCTGTGCTATAACAACTACATTCCATTATACTGAATTGCCATGACAACCACATGTCACTACCCATGATACCATGGCAACCACAATTCATTACCCACTGTGCTGAAGCAACCAGTCTATAACCCATGAGTCCACCATGGGAAACCACATTCTATTAACCACAGTTCTGCAGCAAACACATCCCGTCATCCACTGAACCCAGGCGGCAGCGATCCATCACTCCCATATCTCAGCCCCTGACCCACAGTGCCTCTGCAACCTTCTATTTTTGGCTGGTGCTAGGGATGGAGCCCGGGGCCTTGCACATGCCATGCTAGACAGGTGGTCTACCCTTGAGCTATGCTCCCAGGCCTTCTCACTACGCCTAAAGGCCATAAGCGTATACTGAGACAATCCCCTCCCATCGTCCACAGAGCCGTTTGTTTCCCACAGTCCTTAGCAGCTGAGTCAAGTCCACTGCTCTGCTTAGCCACAGTGTCCTCGCTCCCCTGCCTCCCATCTTCCAGATCTGGACTCCTGGGTGTCCTCTCCTCCCAGCCCCCAGAAACCTGTGAGGGTGGTGTCACCTGATCGCCCACAGTCTGCACAGGAGATGAGGTCCTCAGGACACCCGGTCTTCTTGGAGCCACCCAGGCAGAAGTCACAGTAGCCGTTGGGGATGACAGTGCCGTCAGGTGCCTTCTTGGCTGAAAGACAGCAGGCGGGTCAGCCCGAGGCAGGCAGGGACCCCAGGGAAAGGCTGCCGCAGCAGGAGGAGCAGAGGGAGGTGTCCCTACCTGTGTGTTTCCTTTGTGCCTCGGGGACCCAGGCCAATTCTTTGTAAAACTCTGGGGGTGGGGGGACAGAGAGGGGCTCTCACCATAGGCAAGGCTCCACCTGCCCCCAGCCTCAGCCCCGGGGGGGCCCTCGGTCCAGACATGGAGGGGGAAAGACCCCAACCACCCTGAGCTGTGGCCAATAGCAAAAAAGAGCTGGGAGGGGGCAGATGATTCTCATCAGGACCCCCAACTCTTTGGGACAACTGACGTGTCCTCTTTACTGGGTAAAAGCTTGGTGAATAAATACAGCTTTAGGGAGAACTCCCCATGCACCTCCAAAGGGGCATCTCCCAGGCAGCCGCCCCTAACTAAGCCTGGCCTAGGTGCAAATTCAGTAGATCCCTTTGACCAAGATTTGGTTTGAAAACATATTCAGAAGAAAACTTGGAAGCACAGAGGGGCCTAGGGGTGCAGTGGGCCAGGCGTGAGGACTCTGCCCTCTCCCCCGAAGAGATGAGGGAGAGACTGCTCCCCTCCCCCGCTGCTCAGCGTCAGGGCTGGCACAGGATGGAGACTGGTGGGTGCCAAGGGCTCCTGAGCCACCAACCTTACCCCCTGGCTGAAGCGGAGCAGGCAAGGGAGAAAGAGAGGGTTGGGAGGGAGGGGAGTCATCTATCACCCCCTCCCCAAGCTCTAATTGAAACAATAAATCAGACCCAGAAATATTACGCCCGGCCGGGAGTGAGAGAAATGGTTGGTTGCCATGGCAACCCCAGAGCCAGCATCCCCACAGTAGGTGGGGGAGGGAACAGCTGAGCTGGAGATTTTCCAGAAATATCTAACGCGCCCCCTCCTCCAGGGCCGCCACCAGGCTCCTCAGCCTGCCCCCTGGGGCCCTCACCACCCAGACCTGGCCCATGGGCTCACGTTTGTGGTTGTTTTTCCGGTGGAAGGGCAGGGCGTGGCGCTCCGAGTGCTCCTCCCCCTCCTCCTCAGCCAGGTGGGTGTGGGTGTAGTGGTAGCTGAGGCCAGGCCGGTTCTTATACCGTTTCCCACAGACTGGAGGGTGAGTGGATGGCTGTCAGCACCCCGTCCTTGCTGCCTCCACCCTGGCCTCCAGGATCACACCACCCACCTCTGCCAGAGATCTGCAACCCCCACCCCGGGCCAGGACAGGGAATGGGGGGTAGGGTGGGGTACTGCAGGGGGAGGGGAGGTCTCCAGGCCCCCCTCTCTCTTTTCCCCTCTGCAGGACTCACTATCACAGACATACGGCTTGTCTCGGTCCTCCAGGGAAGCGGTATCCTGGCGTTTCCGGAGGCCCCCGATGCCATATGCCTAGGGGAAGGGTCAGGAGTGAGGGGCCAAGAAAGCAAGGAAATGGAGCTTTCATTATTGGGACAAGAAAGTCGAACTGCACAAAACAAAATTTGGCTTTATGGTTCTGGGGGGTGTGGACTGGCAGTAGAGCAAGGCCCTGGGTTCCACCCCTAGCACCACAAAAAACAATAATTGCAAGGCATAGTAGCACACACTAGTAATTCCAGCACTCAGGAGGCTGAGACAGGAGGTTTGCAAGGCTGAGGTCTGCCTAGGCTACATAAAGGCCAGCCTGTACTATATAGCCAGACTGTCTCTAGAAAGCAAATACTGATAAAATCTTCCCCTGAAGCTGGGCCTAGTGGTGCACACCTGCAATCCCAGCACTCAGAAGGCTGAGGCAGGAGAGTCACTTGAGAGTTCAACGCCAGCTTCAGCTACCTAGTGAGTTTAGGACCAGTCTAAACTACATTCCTGTTGCAAAAAAAACAAAACACAACAAAAATAAAACTTGTCCCACAAGCAACTGTGCAAACTTCCTAGCTATGGAAGTTCCTATAAGGTTGTTTCCCTGTCTGCAGCAGTTATGAAGACAGTTCTAATTTACCGTACAACCTCTGTTTTGCAAATGATTTAAGCTATAGGAGCCTCAGGTTCCTTATCTATAAAGTAGGTAAGTACAAACTCCTCACCCCTTTGGATTGCCCTGGGGACTAAGTGAGGTCACACTTGTGGGTGGGGCTGATGTTGCACATGCTCAGTCAATGGGCTCTGTCACTGGCGGGGAGGAGAAGGAGGAGCTTCAGGTGTTACCTTTCCTTTTTTTTTTGTTACCTTTCCTTTGGCCCTGTTCTTCCTCCTGGGAATGTCATCCTCCAAGTCTTCCACCTCAAGATCATGTGGGAACTCCAGCAGCTGCTGCTTCTGGGCATTAGGGAGATTAGGGTCAAGAAAGTAGGGGGCCTTTTGGGAGCTGAGGCAGGAGGATCGTCACAAGTTCAAGGCCAGCCTGGGTCACATAGTGAATTCAAGGCCAACCTGAACTGCATAGTGAGATTCTATCTCAATAAAACAAACAGAGAGGCTAGAGATATAGCTCAGCGGCACAGCACCTGTCTGGCAAGCATGAGGTCGTGAGTTCGATTCCTGGTACCAGGGGAGAAAAAAAAAAAAAAACAAAAAACAATAAAACAAACAGAAAAAGAAAGTAGAGGCTCCTAACAGGGCATGGTGGTACATACCTATAATCTCAGCACTCAGGAGGCTGAGGCAGAAGAATTGCTGTGAGTTCAAGGCTAATCTGGGCTACATAGTTCCAGACCAGCCTAAACTATATAGTCCCTGTCTCAAAAAACCAAAACCAAGCCAGGTGTGGTAGCACACACCTGTAACCCCAGAACTCAAGAGGCTGAGGCAGGAGGATCACCAATTCGAGCCCAGCCTAGGCTACATAAGTGAGTTCAAGGCCAGAAAAAAAAAAATTGTCAGGGGCCTTATCTGCTACAGATGGGGTAGGAGGGCAGGTCAGGAGTCTTCCAAAGGCGAGGTCTGGGAGGCTGAAGACTTGGGGCACCCAAACCCCTGGGGAGCAAGGTGAGTTTCAGGAGCATGATGTACAGGTAACAGGACTTGCAACTGGGGTGTTAGGCTTACCTGACAGTCCATAATGGTCTCTTCCTCCTTCAGCTCAACCTTCTTCTCTCCTGTCTCAGCACAGAGCAGAGCCTCAAGGACAGGCCCTTCAGGGAGACCACCCTCCTTCTTCAGGGGTGCCTCACAGTCTGGGGACAAGCCAAGGAGGGGGTGTCAAGTGAGGAAGTTGTCCTCAAACTTCCCAGGTTGGGGGACCATGCTTGTGGTGGGAGGGAAAGGCTTTGTTTCCCACACTCGGCCAAAAACCAACACAAGGACTCAACCACACACTAGGAAGGATTCCAGACCCTGGGCGTCCCAGCTGCACCTCCAGACACACTCAGAGGAGACATGGGCAGAACCTTGGACACACCCAAAGACCCTCAGAACAACAGACCACTAGCCATGTCCAGACCCTCACAAATAGCTACATGAGCCGGGCGTGGTGGCACATGCCTGTAATCCCAGCACTCGAGAGGCTGAGGCAGGAGAATCGTTGCGAGTTCAAAGCCAGCCTGGGCTACAAAGTGAGCTCACGGCCGGCCTGAACTGCACAGCGAGACCCTGTCTCAAAAAGACAAAAAACAAAAACAAACAAACAAAAAAACCAAATAGCTACACGACATGGGGGCAGGGGGAACCCCAGCCAGACTCTCAGATACCCCCATCAGAGCTAGATAAAGACACTCAGATACAACACACATGGCCACACACAGGGCAGATGCAGACAGATCATCTGCCACACAGAGACACTGGAAGGAAGAGACATAACCAGACCGTCAGACACACCTAGACACCCAGAAGAGATACAGTCAGACCCTTGGATAGACACTCAGAAAGAGGGACCTGCAGACATAAAGCTAGCCAGGGCCCACACTACACCTGAACACCTACAGACACAGCAAGTGAAACTCGCTTAGGACGCGCAGACACGTGGGAGAGACAGGCAGTCCCGCTGAGGCAGTCAGATACCCACAGGAAGACACAGTGCGATGAACACTCCACCACACCCAATACAGATACACCCGCAGGGGCGGAGAAAGCACTCTTGTCTCTAATCTTCCTGGACACATTCAAAGCACTAAGCCCAGACACCGTGTGGACAAGCACACACGATCAAAAATCCACGTAATACACCAGACACAAAAGGAAAGAGGTGCTCGCAAACACTCTGAAGTATCTGATATACCCAGAAACACTTGGGAAAAGCCACACACTCTGAGAGGCGAGAGACAACCCCAGAAGAAATATGCCTTCTGATACACCTGGAAACACCTAGAAAGAGACAGACACTGGGATGCTCAGTTATGGAAAGTTTAACACCAGATATGGACACATCTACTTCTTAGGTATATGTGCTGCCGAGTAAGCACTGGACATATCCAAACACACAAATACAAGCAGGTGGACACCTTCAGGCACCCACAGAAAGAAATACAGCAAGACTGGAAGACAGTGTCCCAGCTCACCGGCAGGGGCTACAGCCAGAGGCCAGAGACAGCATACCCCTAGACACCTAGCATACACCACCATGCCCCCATACACCTGGGCTCGCCGTGGGGAAGACAGTCCAGGGCTCCGTGACTCAAGGCTGTACAACCTCTGGGTACACCCAAGAAACACATAAGGGGCTGGGGGTGTGGCAGGGCCACAGCACACTCAGGGGTGCAGCTCCACCCACCAATCTTGTACTCGCAGGGCCTGAGTCTGGGGTCCTCTAGGATGTTAAGTCTCCGTTTCTTTCTCCAGCAGCGAGCAGGGTACGTGTAGATCTGTCCCGGGGCCAGACCTGGAGGGAGAAGGGCGGTAAGGAGGCAAGGCGGCTGGGACATTGAGCCGAGCCCCGCCCCGCCCCGCCCCGCCCCGCCCCGCCCTCCTAGCGGTACCCGGCCCCCGGTGGGTTTTCTCCATCCAGATGTAGCAGTTGTTCTGGGCCACGCCGGTCTGCGAGTCGAGGAAAGGTAGGCGCAGGCTGCGCTCAGCGCACAGGCGCGCGTTGTAGCTGCGGCAGTGCTCGATGGCCTCGCGGTAGAAGTCCTCGCCTAGGCTGCGGGGCGAGGAGCGGGCGGGCGGCTGTCAGCAAGGGCGGTGCGGGAAGCCCAGCACTCTCCCTCGCCGAGACCTCCCCTCCAGCTCGGCCCCTCCAGGACTCGGGGTGGGGGAGGGGACCCTAGCCCGGGAAACGCGCAGGCCTCCCGCGATGAAGTGGACGTACACAATATAGAAACAGACAAAAACACACGGGGACCCAGCCACACACCATCACATCCAAACACAACACAAATCGCAGAGACACACGGGATTCACACACAAAGAGAGCCATATCCCAGCACTCACAAAGGACACGCAGATAAACCTCACACACATGGACACACAAATATCTTCTGAAAAACACAAATATCCCAAGTTACACAGTGTGGAAACAGACCACACAATTATCTATGCACAAAACACAGGTCACAAATCCAAAGACACACAATATAAACAGATGACCCACAAAGACCCACAACATGGAAACATCATACACACACACTCATGCGCCCAAAGACAGTTACACAAATGTCAAAAAACAGGAACTACAGAAACAAATGATCCACATATACACTTAACATACATATCCACATACAACACAAATCACACAGACACAATACAAAGAAATCACAGATTTTACATAGGCACACACATATTCACAAAGACACATAACACAGAAACCAGTATCTAAAATACATATCCACAGATACCTATATGTAAAACCATACGACCAGTCAGACCCATCCATAGTTACACAAGAATTTACACACAAAATCAGGCATCTCTTCATCCCCAAAGACACAGAGCACAAGACAAATGATGCTCAGTTCCAGAGGACATGTGCACACACTCGAAAACCCACATATCCAAAGATTTGTGGTGTAGAATGTTTAAAAATCCTATACATACCCACACACATCTCCAACATCTCAAAAGCAGAACCACAGATAAGTCAGACACACATACTCCACATCCCAAGACAAAGGTAGTCTGGTCTACACTCGCGGTTACCGAGGCCCCGGTGCCCGCTGGCTATTTTACCCTCTCCCAAAGCCGTAGTTCCCGGGGCGGGGACGATGACCCCCTTCCCCCAAAAGAACCCACAGTCCCCCCACGTGCTCCACCCTTCCAGGAACAACGCATCTGACACCATTCTTGCCAGAGACCCACAGTCACACATACTCGAACCCCCGTGCAGCCTGGCACACGGTGACAGCCCCCTGACACCCCATCGGCCCCACCCCCAGCCGCCACATATGCACACACATGCCCGCGCAGACCCTCCCGCGCGCCCTCCCTCGCCTCGCACCGGCCCGCACCACCTCAGGGGGCCGGGGATGACCGTGGCCATCTTGCTCCCCGGGTCCTGCCCCCAGCAGGTCCCCGCCGGGTCGGTCCTCCCAGCGGTCGGGCGGGCGCAGAGGCCGCCCATCCATTCATTCCCGAGGGGCGGGAGCACGCGGGCCACAGCCAATCACGACAGCGGGGCGGGACGCCCGGGGCACTCTGGGAGTGGTAGTCCCCGGCAGAGGCCGGCACCCCCAGGGAGGGGGGGCACGCAGTTACTCACACACGTCTGTGTCCCACGTGCGCACATCCAGCATGCACACCAGGCCTCGCGCACACCCGCACATGGCAGTTTACACACATTCACACACAACTTGCACCCTCCCACGCACGCCCATTCACGCCTTCACACAGCTACACACGCGGGCACGCTCTCGTGCCGGGAGACTCAGAGACACCTTACAGGTAGGCGCCCACACAGACTTCGCACCAATATGCCCGGGCCGACCTCAGGCTCACTGCCACCACGCTTTCCCCAGGTCCTTCCAACTCCGGGGTACCCTACCCTGTGTCAGGCCTGGCGGTTGCCCCAGCGACTCTCATAGTGAGCCCGCACAAACTCCATCCTCAAGCCTGAGGGCAGCTGTGCTGGAGAGGGCGAGCTGCAGCCACCTCCTCCTGGCTTCAGATCCTAGCACGGCCACTTGCTGGAAGGTGACCTTGGGCAAGACTTACCTTTCTGAGCCTGATTCCTCATTTATAAAATAAGCATGATACCCACCGGGCGTGGTGGCGCATGCCTGTAATCCCAGCACTCGGGAGGCTGAGGCTGGAGGATTGTTGCGAGTTCGAGACCAGCCTGGGCTACAAAGTGAGCTCAAGGCCAGCCTGAACTGCACAGCGAGCCCTGTCTCAAAAATAAAACTAAAAATTAAATATAAAATAAATAAAATAAGCATGATAAATGGATGTGGTGACCACGTCCACAATCCTAGCCTTTGAAAGGCTGAGGCAGGAGGCTTGCAACTCAGCAATTTACCAAGACCCTGTCGAAAAATAAAAAACACCAAACAAGCCTGGGATTTAGCTCAGGATGAGTTCATTCCCCAGTGCCACAATAAACTAAATGAAGACGTAAAAATAAATAAATAAAGATCACGGCTTATCAGATTGTTGTGAGAATTACATGAGTAAATATGGACAAAGTGGCCTTTTTTTTTTTTGGTCTTTTTGAGACAGGCTCCTGCTGTGCAGTTCAGGCTGGCCTTGAGCTCACTTTGTAGCCCAGGCTGGTCTCAAACTTGCAACAATCCTCCTGCCTCAGCCTCCCGAGTGCTGGGATTACAGGCATGAGCCACCACACCCGGCTTTGGACAAAGTGTTTTTAAAAGGCATCCTTGGAAGGGTGGGGCATGGTAGCACAGGTTTGTAATCCCAGCACTCGGGAGGCTGAGGCAGGAGCATCATAGCATGAACTACATGAAACCCTGTCTCAGAAAAAAAAAAGATACCTGCAAAGGCCTGGGGACAGCACAGTACAGTAGTACAGCAACTTGCCTCAAGGCCCTGGGTTCAGTATCCAGTGCCAATAAATAAATAAATGATACCTAGCAGATAATGAGTGCTGAATACGTTTTCCTGAAACCTAAAGTGAAAAAAAGAAAAGAAAAAAGAAAAGAAACCTAAAGTGGTGATACTCTTATTAGAAAGACTGCCAGCCTAGGAATAGCTGAGTGGTAGGGCACCTGCCTCAGATGTGTGAGGCACCAAGTTCCATCCCAGCATCAAGAAAAAAAAAAAAAAAAAAAGACTAAGGAAAGATGATGGCCTGCACATGTAAATGTTCAATAAATGTTGGTTGAATGAATAAATATCCTGAGCACCCATCATGTGCCAGGCACAGTTCTCAGCAGAGTGAAACTTATTATCACCATTTTCCAGATGAGGTCTCTCAAGTACAGGGCAGTGACCTCACATGCCCTCAGCCCCTGGTGACTATTGGCAGGTGACACTGAGGGAAGGATCCACACACCCACAAGTCTAAATCTATCCCCAAAGGGGGCCTTACTTCGTTTTTTCTCCCTCTGTCACCCACACAGACTGTACCTCAAGGGAACTCCAGAGAATGAGCTGCCCTACTGAGGTACATGCACCCAGTCTACACACACACACACACACACACACTCGCACACACAGCCCCACTCTCCAGAGACAGCATTCAGATTCTGTATGAATTAACACACCCACCAGTATGGCCCTGTCCACCAGGGGGCCTGCAACAGACAAAACAGGCATAGCAGTCCTCCTGAGACCAGCTCAGGGCCTCCCAAATTTACTGTCACTTCTACACACACACACACACACACACACACACGCACCATGTACCTCTAGACTCAGACCCTGCTGCAGACCCCTCCTCATCTAAACCATCTAAGGCCTGACCTGTCCTTTCTCTATCCCAGGAGGAACTGGGTCTTCAATCCGCCTCCAGCCTAGACTGGTGACAAGGGGATTAAGTGAGGGACACTGGCACTCCCACAGCCACTCTGGTCTCGGGGGGCCTCAGAGAGTGCCCCACCTTATGCGAGGTGAGCCCTGCCCCAGCACCCAGCTCAGCTCTTTGCTGACTCCCTCCAGATGCTCCGCAGCTCCTTCACTTGCTCCCCACACCTGTGGCCCCAGACACCCACCTACTCCTGTCCCCTCACCCCCACAGCATCAGTGATTAAGGGAAGGTCGGGTGCAGACTCTCCACCACTCCTGCAGAAGCCCAGGCCACCCAGGTCTCCGATGCACCTGTCCCAATCCCCTCCCAGCCCAATGATCCTCCTGTCCCCAGCCACAGTGCCCTATGTGGGAGCTCCCATATAGTAAAAGTCAATATCAATATTTGCACAACTATTAATAATCACTACTTTTAGGTCAGGTTGTGTACCAAATGCTTTTGCAAAGATCACAGTCTAGCTGGGTGTTGTGGCACAGGCCTGTAATCCCAGAACTCCAAGAGGCTGAGTCAAGAGGATCAAAAATTTTATACCAGCCTGGGCCCTGAGTGATTTAGCGAGGCCCTGTCTCAAAATGAAAAATAAAAGAATGGAGATGTAGGTCAGGGAGAAGACCCTGTGTTTAATCCCCACTACAGGAAAAAAAATTACAGTCTTTAAACACCACTTTCTCCCCATGAATTAACAAGTGTTACACTTCCCAATTTACAGATGGTAACACTGAGGCTCTGCGGAAGGAATTAATGGCTCAAACTGAGGTGTGCACTCAAGCAGTCAGAACTCTGAGCTGAGGCTCCGGGCTCCATTCCCAAGGGAATTTGACTCCAGAATTCTTTCGAAGCAAGCGAGTCCCATATTCACGCATGCAGACCCCTGGGGAGTGAGGCAAAGAGAGGCAGCCTCCCTCCACTGGGACAGACTCTGGCCTGAGGGATACGCCCCGCTGCACCTCCAGAAGACTGCGGGGGTCAGGCTCAGGGCCGGGAGCCCGCAGATCCACCAACCCGCACTGGAAGCCACTCCTGGCCAGTCTGAGGGTATCTCCCACCGGACAGACATCTGCGCGACGCAGGTTGGAAGGGAGGCGGAGGAGGTGTCTCCATCAGCCACGGACCCAGGCCCACCCCCCCAAAAGAAAAGCCACCCTCGGAGGCCCTCGCCTGAGACCCCGCCTCCCACCCTCTCCTCTCCCAATTCCCACCCCACCCCCACCCACCCCAAAACCAGAAGCGACCGCGGGGGCGGGGTGGTCGTGCGGCCTCCGGACACAGCTCTTCTCCAGGGTGGGTGGGGCGGCCCCCCAGCAAACGGTGCTCAAGGTCAAGGCAGCGAGCAAGCGGGGAAGGGTGGGGAGGTCGCCCCGGCCCCTTTGTGCGGCGTGGCCTCCTCCGCCAGGCGGGGAGGAGGGAGGGGGAAGCGAACGCGGCGCTCCCCTGCCGGGGACAGAGGGCGGGAGCGGCCGCGCGCCTGTCACTCGAAGCCCGCTGTCAGCACCTGGGAAAGGCAGGCGGCAGCGCTGGGACCCGGGAGTCCGGGATCCGGAAGCGGGAGCGACAGAGGGGGCGCAAGAGAGAGGAGGAGGGGCAGGGGCCGGCCGCGGAGCGACGCGAGGGGCTGGGAGCCGCGGGACCTGGGCGCCCGGGTTCGCAGCTCCTGGACCGGGGACCCGGAGATGGGCGCTCCCCGCACCTCCCCGCGAGGCGTCGGTCTCGGGGTCAGGAGGCGCCCTGGTCGTTGCGCGCGGGGACCGGGAGGGACGCCACGGTCCGCGCGGACCCGGGCGTCGGGGCTGCGAGGTCCCGGAGACCCAGCACGTAAAGGAGGGCGGCAGGGACCGGACGGGGAAGCCCAAGGTCTCCGCGCCCACCCTGCGGCCGCGCGGGCCGGGGTCCCCGGAGAACGAGGGGGAGAAAGGTGCAGGGATGAGGGGAGGGCGGTGCTGAAACCCTGGAGCCCCGGGTTCAGACTTAGGCGTTGTTGCCCCAGCCGCCACCGGGCCAGCCTGCACCCCCAGAGACGCCGAGGAGATGGGGAGGAGGAAATCCCTAACCCCACTCTGGGTGGGGACCCGGCCTCCGCCACCCCCCTGCCCACGCCACATTCCTTCACTGACAGCGACAAAGAAGAGGCGCCCCCGCGACCCTGGAAGGGCCCCGGATCTTAACCCCAAGAGGCGACGGGGCGGGTGACAGGCCCCACAGCCGGGGGGCGCGCTGGGGGCCTCCATTCCACCGCCGTCGCGCGCGGCGCCCCCCGCCCCAGCCCCAGGGAGGCGGGGGAGGGGCTCCTGAGAGTCGGGGACCGGACGGGGGCGGGGACGACGGGGACACTCACGACTTGAGCGGGTTCTGAATGGCGGTAGCCATGGCCCGCTCAGCAGGGCCGCCTTCGGCCCGGGGCGCCGCT